CACAAAACAGCTAATTTTTCGAAATGTATGCAGGGCTTTTAAGGCAGGATACTTATGTTCAAGATTTGCTCTGTGCATGCTCATAAAACTTATTATGTTCTACTGGTATGCTCAAAATGAAGTGTAATAGGAAGGGAGCAGGGTAAGAGCAGGGGCAGGGAGCAGGGAGAATTCCAGTAGTAGCCAGTGCCACATCCCAATTAGGGTGAAACCCTAGGATAAGGCAAGAAAAGGAAGGCCGAATCAATAATCAATAAAGTAGTAATCCAAAAGCGGACGGTATGCAATAGAAGCATGGAAGCCACATTATAATGTGATCCCATGAGAATAGTGCCTGAGAAGCAGCCAGAGGTTCTGGCTCACATTACAATGTCAGTGCACGGAGATCCCGGCTCACATTGTAATGTTTCTACATGTACGCCTGGTCGGTGACACCTGGAGTGAGTACGCATGTTGGGGGTCTCATCATAGGCCTAGGTTTGTCGTCCGGTTCTACGTCCGCCAGTCCAAGCGGTACTTCGAGTGTCGGAAGGAAGCGTCCCGGTTACAGTGGCTTCAAAGACATGGGACCCCCTCTACTGAACCCATGGAAGAAGCCTCGTACGGATGACAGCTCAGGGGTGTAGACTCGGAGTCATGGTCTTCGTACTGAACATCAAAAAGCAAGTATATTTTATTCCCCTTTACTCTCATCGGCCCTCCACCTACTATTCTCCACGTCGTATAGCCTTTTATGCTGGTCTATAATTCTGTTACGCTCTTTTCTGATCTCCGTATAACCATCAAAATACTCAAACAAATTTCCTGCTCTCTTTCCTCAATGTTAATTCTTTTACACTGGTACGTACTTATAAGTTATCCTAGCTCCTTCCATCCTATCTTTTGTTTCTTTCCCTGACATATGGCCCTTTATGCTAGTCTGTAATTTCATTCCATTCCTTTCAATCTGCGCATAACTAAAATACTCAAAAACATTTCCCCCCTGTTTTATGTTCATCCTTTCACACCGGTCTACTCTCCGTCCCTTTTGTCGCTGGTCTATTCCGTGATTTTCTTTCAATCTCCACATAACCTACAAAATACTCAAAAACATGTCCTCCTGTCTTTTTTGCTCAAAAACTATACGCTTGCGTAGCTTCTAGTCGTGGTTATATACATAGTGCTTCCGATATTTAGTGTGTGGTCTAATATATAGAGTGTGACTGATATATAGTGCGAACCACCTCATATAGCGTGGAAATCTTTTTTTGTACAATGCGACCTCCATATGGACTGGCCCAGAACAACCTGCATATATAACCAGAGAGACATATAGGGTGTATTTCCAGGTAGGCTCACCATATATCTTTTCTACCTCAATTATTTGAGAGGTCTAAAAATTCATCTGACACCAGGGTTTTCATCTGGAGAACAGCCCCTAATCAGATCCAAAAAATTTCAGGTACATAGCTGTCATATTAGTTTGATAGTGCTACTGGTATCATGGATGTTATGAAGGTCGGATTGTACAAAAAATAATTTTCACACACTATAGGCGACGCGCACACTATACGAGTTCCACGATATACAGACAACACAACATATATTAGCATTGGCGGTGTCACACAGGAAACCTTGCCGCTTGAGAGTTTATTCTGGTTCAAATAAGTACCAGATACCATAGATCAATGTACCTAGATTGACACCGTGACGAAGAGAAACTAAAGGAGGATGTATAGTATTTTGTGTATTTTATGAGGAATGGACTATGGACTCGAGGAGAGATCATTTTGGAAGCAGAAAAGGTTGTATACTAAGACAAGATGGAGACACAGGGGGATTCCATCGATGGAAGGACATTTTATGAGTAAGCCGGTAATGCTCTGTCACGTCCCGACAAACGACGGACGACCTACTCTTCCGCATCATCATCCTCACGACTCGCTGGCTTCTTCCAGGGGTTCTTGGAAGGCTTCCCAAGATCCGGGAATCCGTACTTGGTTTTGGGACGCGTACTGGTAGGACGACGTCCGAGGACAGTCCCGTACGATGACGGGGTGGACGATGACGGGGTCGCTATGGATGATGTCGAGGTCGCTGTGGAGGACGATGGAGTCGTTGTGGACGATGATGGGGTTGCAGTGGAGGAGGATGACGGAGTCGTGGTTGATGACGAGACACCTAATGAAGGATTATAGTAACTTGGCATTTGGGTCATGGCTCCGTTGGGGAGTTGGAGAACAGACGTCGTCAGCAATGGGCCAGAGGTGGTGATCGTGTTGCTTGCAGTTCCGGCGAGTGATGGCAAGGATGTGGGACCAGCGATACCTGGATTTGAGGTACCACTCGCTGCGGCCACAGATGCAGATGGAGGACTTGCTTGGGCTGGCGTGGTCAGAGAGCTCGGTCCCTCGACAATCTGTACATCATCGTCTGATTCCGCTAGTACAAAACGAAGTATCAGCACTCCGAGCCGAGAACAAGTTAGTCATAGCGATGAATATCATAACTGACCTGGCACACGACGTGCTTTCGAGCGGGTCGTTGTCAGTCTTGGAGGGAAGATGACATCGTCGTTGTCTTCTTCATCGGAGTCCTTCGCATTGCGGAGATCAATGACACCTGTGGGCGATAAACATCAGCGAATATGACGATGGCTTTTGCCACAGTGCACATACTAGTCATTCCAGTCTTGCCCTTGTTATCGTCGTCTCCATCGTCCTCGTCATCTCCCTCATCGTCCTCATCTCCCTCATCATCCATCTCATCAGTCGCAGCAGACTCTCCCACCCAAGAACTCTCCGACTCAGATTCCACCGCTTTCGCCTTCCCCTTTCCCTTCACGTCAGGTTTCACCTTGGAGTTCTTCCTCCTTCGTCCCGCTACCTTGACCCCGGCTATGGCCCTCTTCTTACCCTCACCATTGCCACCATTCTCAGTCAATGAACCTCCAGTAGTGTCCGAGGAAAGGCCCTTGACAGCGGGCTGGGCCACCTTTTTCGTCACTGTTCTTGCCGATGAAGCTGTGACACTGGTGGCGTCATCGACCTGCACACTCGCTGACCAGTCGACGTCCTTAGGGTCGTTCTTGGACCAGATATAATCCGGGATGGATAGACGGAGGACTAAGGAAGGGATTATAAGAGGGCAAGTTAGATGGATGAGATGGCGGAGGACGAGAACGACAAGAGCGAGGAGGTGAGCAAAATTCCAAGTCCGGGACTCACCGAAGAAAAGGGTCTGGCCCTTCCAGCCTCGTGAGGCCGGATTCTTGGCTTCGTTGAGAGACTCTCCAGTAACTATCTCCTTCTCATACAGAAACACCTTTCCACGCGTCCCCACTTGCGTGTTCATCAGTGCCCACAACGCATCACCCGGCTCTACTCGGTTTGAGAACTCTCGCTCGAGGAACCCAAATACTTCGGGGAAGACCTTCCTCAGGAAGTGCTCGTTGATGGCATCCATGCTCCAGGACGCCTTAAAGCGAAGCAGGTCGGCCATGCCTGGGTCGTCCCAATGAACGATCAGGCGGGCATTGCGGAGAGCTTTGCGGTACTCATTTTGCGGGACTCTGTGTGAGAACGAAACCCCGAACGTATTGACGCCACTTTCTAGCTCCTGGGTGTACTATATGACACAGTGTCAGCTTATACTCTATGTACGTCACAATAAATCAAAGCAGAAACGATCTCACCTCTTCCAAACCTTCAGGAAAAAGAACAACCTGCCCAACATTAATCCACTTGTCTTTTGGGCCGGATGTCTCCGCATTACCACCTGTCTTAGCCTTTTCCAGCAATGAACGTCAAAACTTGGTATGTTTCGTCAGGAAAAAGGTCAGTGCGTACCTTGCTCGTTGTGAGCTTCCCACCTGAGGAGCGTCCTACTGTTTTGCTCGAGGATGCCTTGCTGGATGACCCTGAGGCCTTTGTGCTGCCCGGCCGATAGTTGGCTAAGGCTTCGACTCGAGCTTCTTCGGCAGTCGTGTCCTCGCCAAGCCGCAGAATATTAACCGCAGGCCGTAAACTATCCAGGACACGCTGAGATTCACTTGAAGGTATCGGAGCCACTGTAATCTCTGGATGAGCGCCTTCGATGTGACCGCAATCACGGCATAACTGCTTCCCGGAGGTCGGCTTCGTGGGTTTTATAAAACGGCGGCATGGGCAGCGTTTACCATTCTCATCGGCAGAGCATGTGTCGGGTGTATGAGCATGGGGGGCCATTGGAGATGTGGAAGAACGGAGGTTTGGATGAGAGAACTAGACGACGGAATTTGAGGAAATTTTACAGTGAATTTATCCGGCCAAATATTGGGGCGCCGATTATTCTTGGTTATTACGCCACTTGTTCCACTCATGATGTGGCCCAAAATTGGTGGTGCAATAAGTACACTAGGTTGAAAGGTTCGATTCATTGTCGCTGTCTATAAGTATCCTCTCCATCAAATCCAGTCCCTGCACCCAAGCAAGTGCTCTGGGCCACCATATTTCCACCGGTAGAATCACTTTCAGCTTCTTTTTCCCATCAACACCGAACGTAATCGTCTCGGACAAAGGATAGAAGGCATCCTCCCACTCCTCGGGCTTGAGCCCATAACCGTCTGGAACTACCTGTCGCTCCTGCACTTTCTGTAATGCCGCAAAGAATACAGCAGAGGTTGAAGGAGAGAATGGGCACGACCTGGGAGGGACAGGAATGGCGTCATGACGGATACTCTCCTCGAGATCCTCCGCGATCAGTTCCTCTGCGTTCTCATGAGGTTCGTTGTCAGTGTCACCTTCATCTGAGCTAAGACCTCCCTCGTCATCTGGGTGTCCTGCACCGGTCAGCCCAGGATGACGGCGGCGGGGCAAGCCTTCTACGCCATAGTACTGGTTCAGTACACTCGGATGAACTCCTGGTTGATCTTCGTCAATGCCGTGCTCATGAAGGCTTTCAAAGCGGATATCCTAAGGTTGCGGGTGAAGGATACTCATCAGCCTGCACGTGAACGTTAAATATACAAGGGACGGTCAGAGCTGAACTCACCGAAGGTGACCTATTTTGTGTAACTGGTCCTGAAATCGGATGATGGTTCCATGCGTCCACAAAGGCGGTACAGTCCTGATTGATAATATCGAGAAATAATACTTGAAGAAGCCATAGGTGGGTAGGGTTTAGGCGATCAAGGCCATGGAGTGTATGAAGACGAACGAAAAATGCGCGCCATCGTCGTGCAAACTGAGAGCCGACTTCTACCCAGGTGCGTTCTATTCTTGTATTCTTCTCTGAGCTATACAAATTAGGCAAATCAATTCAAGTTCTGCAAGGAAAATCAAACGGACAACGCACGAGCCCCACATGAATGACGCTCGATTAGCACCACGATGCATGATCATCCAGATCGCTACCCTCAGATTCTCTCCACCACGATCCCCACGAGCACGACCAGGGCAGCCAAACTCCTGGACGGCTTCGAGAAAGAGTTGGAGAACAGTGGAGGCCTGGTTGTCGGTATGAACTCTCATGCCTGTTATCTAGACATCACATAGTAACCATTAATCAATTTCGGGCCCGATCCATGCAACATTGGCAAGCGGGCCTGAGCGAGAAATCACGTACTGTATGGTCATGCCCGTCAATAATCCCATGGATCACAAAACCCCAAAGGATCAGTTTATGGTGGCCATCAAGATGCCAGAGGTAGTTCGATCTTGGTACCGAGTACCGCCTGTCGTCAATGGCCTCGTGGTTCTGCAGGGCCTGTGCAAGGCCATCCACACGACGAAGGCTCAGTCGTATACGCTCACGCTGGACTCGCACTCCCAGACCTCGCAGAAAGCCTAGTATGTATCGAATTCCAGACCCAGGTTTAATGGTGCGGTATGCGATGAGGATGGTGTCGAGTTCGTCATCAGACATGTCGCTGAACTTTCTCTCCACGTAGGCTCCATGGATTTTAGCGTAATGTCGCAGCGTGTGGCGGTGGACACCTACGATCCTGGCAAGCTTGGTGAGTGAGATCGCCCTCTTCTTGCTTAGAGCATCACGGAGCCATTCTAGCGATATGTTCTTTCTTGGGCGACCACGCCGACCGGTGCGTTCTACAATTACCACGTTGCTAGGTCGCCGTACAGGTCCTGATTCACTAAATAACTCGAACAAAGGTCAGTCAAAGAGGACCTCCGAGGGGCTCCAAATCTCTAGCACATATGAGTGCAGAGAAAATATAACCCAGAGACTGATAATCAAGGGGTACGCACACATGGTCGACCTCATGGGCATTTTGCTCAATGTGTAACACCATGCTCGCCAGTAACTCAGCTATGCTCTTAACCCAGCCTCTGTCCATGCCCTCACGTTCTAGCGCATCTAGTAGAGGAAATATGCGAGCCAAGATCCTGTCGGCGTTGATGCGCAGGCGATGAGCATCTTGCTCGCCTTCCTGAACTACGAGAAGAGCGCGACAGTATGCACGGTCGATGAGGTTATGAGCGCGCTGCACATTTGCAGACCAATTCCGTCCATCGTCTTCTGATGGGTCAGGAAGAGCAGGAATATGAGGAGGAAAGGCCATGGTGGTATTGCAATCTGGGGATGTGAGGTAAACATTCAACACGGGGCCACCAGGCGTCTGCCGGAGGTCTTGAAAATCTGACCGTATCTGGTCGTCGCCCCTTCAGTCAAGACTCTTTCCTTCTTCGACCATGGGCCCCACAGATCCCCCTCCATTTCCCAACCATCATGAACGTTACTACTTCAATGATGGCTCCTTGGTACTTCAGGTATGCCCGCTGCTCTCTCAGCTTTTGTTTCATCTTTCTGACCTCATTTATTCCCGTTGCCTTCAGTGCGAGGGCGTCTTATACAACGTCCACCCGTGCCTTCTCTCAGCTCGCTCTGCGTTGTTTCAGGATATGCTCTCTCTACCTCAGAGTGGACGCAACCAGCAACCAAGTGAGCTGGAACCTACGGCGGGGTCTTCAAACACGCACCCTGTTGCCATTACCTCCACGAAGGCCGACTTCGACAATCTCTTGCTGTACATATATGACAGGTCCGTCATTGTCTGCTGTCTGGTTTTCTCCGGCATTGGCTAAATATTGACTGGCAGCTACCTTCAAAAGAACTTATCTCTCGAGTACTTGCTCAGCATACTCAAGATGTCCCACTTCTATATCATCGAAGACGGACTGCAGTACGCATTCAACGCACTCGAAAAACACACAGGCCTCACGGCGCAGCTTCGTATGCATCTCGCTCTCCAGTACAACCACCATCAATGGATTGAGCCCGCGTTTCGTGGTTTAATCACCCGACCTGCCAACAAGTTTACACTCGACGACGTAGCTCAGATAGGCACCGAGGCGTATTTTGTTGTTACTCACACCCAGGCGAGGCTGGATCATCTGATTCGATCCATGGCCTGTTGGCCACCGACAGTACTTCATGGACTCAGTTGTGATGACCAGGAAGCTTGTGATGAGATGTGGGAGAACGCCTGGTGGGGTGGATTCGCGAAGCAGCTGTTCCATCCCGACCGCCCAGCCAACCTTTTCGACGCCCTCGAGACCTTGCACGACATATATATTCCTGGTTTCAATGCCGTGTGCAAGATGAAGACACTGGACGAGCTAATGGAGGATAGCCCGTTAGAACGTGTGGAAGTCATTATACGGGCTGGTATCCAGGCGCTTGGGGGGTTTAGGAAATCCGGGGAAGGAGGAGGTTCAGAAGCTTCCTTAGAGGAAAGGGTGTAGGACAGAGTTTAGTTGTTGACATATATGTATGATATGTCACGATCAATACAGGTTTGTACGATGATGAAGGTCACAGATAGACGAACCTCGATCCGCTACGGGCTCGCTCAACGACAAACTTCCTATGGTCTCAACCATCCTCTCGTGAGCAGGGCTATTTTCGCCTGAACAGGCCTTTCCTGAGCTGTGCTCGCCACATCGGTATTCGCTTGAACAGGACTTTCCTCGTTTCCTCGGTCATCATCTCCACAACCATTCTCGCCTGAGCTGGACTCTCCTGAACCGTCCCTTCCACAGCCGTCATCACCTGAACCGGACTCGCCACAGCCGTCCTCACGTCAACCGCCCTCCGATCAATCGTACTCGACTCAACCGTGCTGGCAGTCTCTGCCACCGGAGTGTCCTCGTCCTCGTCTTCATCCCTATCCTCGTCAATGCAAGTCTCGAAGCCCGAGTCTGACAAAATATCCTCCATACCACCGTGTTCGTCATCTTCCTCCGAGTCACCTTCCTCACATATCTCGAGTTCCGGATCCTGCCACTGGTTCCCCTCGTTCGCTATTATCCCATTCGGCGCGCTCCCAGACTGAACGTCCGACTCCGAGGTGTCCAAACCGTCTTCGTCGTTAGATGTACGCTCTTCCTCTTAAATGATGATCGTGGGGCCTTCGATTGCGAGGATGGGAGAGATGCCGTTCGGAACGTTGGGAGAGGCGCTGCCAGTGTTCGTGGCGGCGAGAGACTGAATACCATCCGGTATAATATGATGTTGTGTCGCAGTGACGAGCGCATACTCGTTCCGTACTGCAATGGTCATGCGCCCAGGAACATCCACCTCAGACCCATCTGACGCACCTCCATCGTCAGACATATCTTCTTCCTCTTCATCACCAGATGTCTGCCCCGCGTCTTCATCTTCATCCACAATTGTAGTACCCTCATTGGAAGGAACACTACCCGCAACAGCGAGGAGCGAATGCCCTCCATCCAGCGTAATTCGCTGTCGCGACTGAACGAGCAGGTATCCTTGACCAAAGGGCGTGACCACTCCGCGAGCCTGAACACTGGCGGCGGAATAGGATTCCCAGGCACCAGGGAAGGAAACAACGTTCTTGGCGCCGAGACCGGAGGGCGCGAATATGATGGCTTGACCCGTCTGGAGGCCTACGACCTGAAAACAGCCACGAAGGATAAAAATGAACACCGCGCTTTGATGAACCCATGAGTGGTGGTGATGCAGAAAAGACCAACCTTCGAAAACAGCTCGTCCTGCCTCTCCTGCGGCGCACTCACATGCGCAGACAAGTGTCTTAACCACTTCGGGGACGAGAACCGATGTGTGATGATGAATGAGCTGAGCTCGAGGAACTTGGAGGGGACGACGGTCGGTTCTTGTGTGGAGATGAGGACGCGGGTGTTCAGGTGCCGTTGTTGGCGGATCGTGGTGAGGAGGGAGTCGGTGAAGCGGGCGGAGGCGCTGGTGTCGGATAGGTACTGGAGGGAGGGTGTAAGTAATGGTGGGACGTGAGAGTGAGATAAAGGCTGTAGGGGGGAAGCATTTTGTTGGTTTGTTTAGCTTAGTTTGTGGGCTTCGTCGAGCACTAGCAAAATATACACCCATCAGCATTTGAAATAAACACATGACAGTGGACATGGTATACTGTACCTATCAACTTTCCGGTATTGACTTTCGCCTCAAGGAACAGACCAAGAATAATATCAAAGAAGCCACACGCCGGCGAAGGATCCATAAACGGCGACGAAAGACTATACACCGAAAGCACATCGTAATCAGCCATTCCTTCCTTCCAAAATCATACACATCGACAAGATCGTACTCGGGGAACAGCTCACTCGATAATCGTCACGCCCCCCCCCCCCCGGCTAAAACTCGCGTCTAGACGCTATTCTCGTCCGACCCGCCCTTCGACGACAAGAATCTAACAGCACCAGACGAAGGTTCAACATCGCCTTCTGCGTCCCTGCGAACTTCTGCTAGTGCGAGCATC